GGACACGTAAAAATTACGCAGCCCCCGCACTCCCAGGGCCACGATCCCAAGTAAATGACGCGGCATCCGCGCTCCCAGGGCCAGGATCCCTTGTAAATTACGCGGCGTCCGCGCTCCCAAAGCCGCGATCCCTCGTACATTGCGTTGGGCTTCCGCTCCCAGAACCCCCTGGGCATCCTTGAGCATCCAGACCCGTCAAATGTTGCAACATGAGCTTTTCGCTCGAGACATCCCGAGAATGTCTGCGCGCCAGAAAGTCAACATTTTCACATTTTTTGTGTCCTGGTCGGCGCTCCAGACGCAGTATTTTATATGATTCCTTTAAACACGAGCCGCACTTTTTTTTACAAAGGAAAGCGGTGGTCTGCGGACCCTGTTATTTGCGAAAAACGTATTTGCCCAACTGAGGTTTCACACTTTACTTCGTAACTCATCGCAGAATAGTTCCGCCGACCCACCTGCCGCAGGGGCGGGGGGGGGGGGAAACCAACTAAAAGAGAACCCTGGGCCGGAGCCCTCTCCGGGAAAAAACACGTGGTCGAGCCCACTCAGGGGGGATATCTAACATGCGGTCGTCCGGGGTGCAGGACGGCCCAGGAACGCCCAGAGGCGCCTGGAGGCCAAAAAGTCAACGAATCGATACCAGATACACATCAACTCTCGCCGTTCCGTTCTGGGCCCCTGGGAGGCTCCAGGAGGCCCATGTTAGATACCCCCCTGGGTGGCCTGGACACGTAAAAACATGCGGCTCCAGCACAGGACCACCATGTTAGATACCTCCCTGGGTGGCCTGGACACGTGAGAACACGGTTCCAGCGCAGGACCACCATGTTAGATACCCCTTGGGTGGCGTGGACATGTAAAAACACGTGGTTCCAGCTCGGGACCACCATGTTAGATACCTCTTTAGTGGCCTGGACACGTGAAAACACGTGGCTCCAGCTCGGGACCACCATGTTAGATACCGCCCTGGGTGGCCTGGACACGTGAAAACAAAAGGTTCCAGCCCACCCAGGGGAGATATCTAACATGCGTGTTAGATACCGCCTCGGCGACATGGGCACGTGGAAACAAACATTTCGCTTGAGACATCCTTGAAATTCTTGCCCCCGACGAAGCCCCCGCTCGAGACATCCCCCAACTCTGCGAAACCAGCGTTTCGCTGGAGACATCCTCAACACATGTATAAAACGCGCGATTCGATAGGGATACCCTAATTTTTTCCACCCCCAATGGGGCTTTACAGCGTTATTCATCACAGATATTTCCGCAGGCGGAAACCAAGCACGCGTTTCGCGAGGGACATCCTCAATTCTTGCACGCAGAATGGGACTTCACCTCGTTATTTATTGCACATAATCCCGCCAGCGGAAGCCGGGGGGGAAACAAAATTATCTTGGCGAAGTACCCAACCACATGCAGTTGTGAGTAACGCGTTGTGGGTGCCGTTTTCGGTGGAGCTCCCTATGGGGCCACGACGCGTGTGAGGGATGTGCCGTAATGGGTGGGGGAGACGCATGCGGGCGGTGCCACTGGGGCCTTCGGTGGGGCTCCCTATGGGCCACGAAACGCAGTCCTGGGTGTGGCTAACGCATGCGGGCGGTGCCCCTCGCTGGAGCTCCCGATGAGGCCACGAAGCGCTGTACTGCTTGTGGGAGACGCATGCTGGTGGTGCCGCTGGAGTCTTTCTGTAAAGCTCCCCACGGGGCCACGAAACGCTCCACTGGTTGGTGGCCGACGCATGCGGGCGGTGCCACTGGGATCTTCGGTTGAGATCCATATGGGCCACGGGAGGGGGGGACGCATGCGGGCGGTGCCACTGGGGCCTTCGGTGGAGCTCCCTTGGGGTCCACGAAACGCTGCACTGGGTGGAGGGTCGCATGCGGGCGGGCCACTGGAGCTCCCTATGTGGCCACCAAACGCTGTACCGGGTGGGGGGGACGCATGCGGGCGGTGCTGTTGGGACGTGGTGGAGCTCCCAATCAATAGAATGCGAAATGCAGTACTAGGTGGTGGACGACGCATGCCGGCGGTGCCACTGGGGTCTTCCTGTGGAGCTCCCTATGGGGCCACGAAACGTTGTACTGGGTGTGGCGGGCTCATGAGGCCACCCCCACTGGGGCCTTAGGTGGAGCTCCCTAGAGGGCCACGAAGCGCTGTACTGGGTGTGGCGGACGCATGTGGCCACCCCCACTGGGGCCTTAGGTGGAGCTCCCTATGGGGTCCACGAAACGCTATACTGGGTGTGGCGGACGCATGTGGCCACCCCCACTGGGGCTCCCTATGGGGCCACGAAGCGCTGTACTGGGTGTGGCGGACGCATGTGGCCCCCCCACACTGGGGTCTTACGTGGAACTCCCTATGGGACCACGAAACGCTGTACTGGGTGTGATGGTGGTGATGATGATGCTGCTGCTGCTGCTGCTGATGATGATGATGATGATGATGATGATGATGATGATGATGATGATGATGGGGGAGGGAGGAGGGGGAGGTGGAGGGAGGATGAAGGAAGGAACAAGGGGACCGTCTCTTCAAAACGAGGACCCAACACCACATGATTGCTGGGAACTAAACGGGACGAGAACCCTGGGCTCGCGCCCTTTCCGGGAAAGAGAACCCTGGGGCGCTGCTCTTTCCGGGAAAATGCGCAAACTGTGTTTTTCGAAGCTCCGCGCGGATTTCTCGGATCAGCGTTGAGCTCCCTGGCGGTGCCTCCGACACCGCCCCTGGTGCGCTCCGTGCGACCGGGAGGGGGGACCCGCGCGGATTCAAGAGATCCGCACGGCGGACCACCAAACTTCAATGCTTATGCCATTATTTGTTCCTCGATAGCGGGCGCACCGCCCAGATCTCAGATGATATGATTACCAACCGCCCCGCGTCCTCACCTCCTCTCGCTGCCCTCTCCTCCCTCCTCACTTCTCCCCTCCTTGCCTCTGTCTCTCTGCACATGTCGGCACACCCCTCATACGTTTCGTGGCCCCATGGCGAGCTCCTTTGAAGCCCGCATGGTTGTACCGTACAACTCCACCGAAGCTCTCAGGGGGTGGTACCGCAAAACGTCCCCCAGCCCGTTCCTGCACACCCTTCACACGTTGAGTGGTCCCATTGGGAGGTCCACACAGTCCCCCAGGTGGTGGTACCACATAGCGTCCCCCGGTCCATGTCGGCTCACCCCTCACACGCTTCGCGGCCCTCCCACAGGGATCTCTACTAGACGCCCCTAGGGTGTGGCACCGCATAGGGCCCCCCCGCATGTTTCGGCACCCCCTCACGCGTTTCGCGGCGGCCCTGAACGCCGCAGGGGTTTGTACGCCGCAGGGGTTTGTACCTCGTAGCGTCCCCCCGCCGGTTTTCTTTAATCACCCCCATCACACCAATTCGTCACCCCCATCACACGCTTCGTGGCTCCATAGAGACTCCACCGAAGCCTCACGGAGTGGCACCGCATAGCCTCCCCCCGCCCATGTCGGCATACCCTTCACCCGTTGTGCGGTCCCATTTGCGAGCTACACCGAGCGCCCCAAGGGGTTGTGCTGCATAGCGTGTCCCAGCCCATGTTGGCACACCCGTCACACGCTGTGTGGACGCAGAGAGAGCTCCACCGATGCGCCCAGGGGGTGCTACCGCATGGCGTCCAACGGCCCGTTCCGGCACACCCCTCGCACGATTGTTGGCCCAATATGGAGCTCCACAGAAGCTCCCAGGGGGTGGTACCGCATAGCGTGCCCCAGCCCATGCTAGCACACCCTTCACAGGTTTTGTGGCCCCATTGGAGCTCCACCGAAGCCCCCAGGGGAAGAGCACATAGCGTCCCCCAGCCCATGTCGGCATATCCTTCACGCGCTTCGTAGCCCCATACGGAGCTCCACTTAAGGCCCAGTAGTTGCGTCCACTCGAGGCCCCTCGCCCATTTCGGCAAACCCCTCATTCGTTCCGTGGCCCTAGAAGGAGCTCGCCATCCTTCGTCCCACCGACCTTGTGGTATTCACGCTGGTGCATGATTGGGTCACTGGCCAGGATAACATGTTTAATCCAGACGTCGTTCCTCGTTTTCCGCCACCGGGTCCAGTAATCGGGCCGCCGGATTCTCGCACATGGATCCGGGACGACAAACTGCTCGTACGGAAGGGATCAGGACCTCTGGGGCCGCGGATTGCTCCACGCCCACCTCTAGAGATTAGCTGCGCTGATACGCCCGTGTTCAAACGCAGCACGTGCCGTGTTCAAAACTTCCGTAGTAACTCGCTGCATGTGGGCTCGGCACGTGATTGGTCACGTTTTTGGTGAATGCATCGCGCCAGACCTACGTTTTCAGTGTACGTGCTGAGCTCCGGGTCAACATGTTGCGAGTTGCGTGTTGCGTATCGGGTCAGCTAGCAGTTCAGCATCGCAACCTCCACCCCTACCTCCGGAGGTGGAACAGTCTTCCTGGAGAGCATTCGTCACCACGGCTGGATTCCTTTTGAAATCCACGTCAGAACGCACACCAGGGGAGGTCCGTGGAGTAGCTGTATCTGAATATTTGCAGATTGGTTTGTCCACCATCTGGGCCATAACGCGCGTTCTGTCCCCGCCCCCCCCCTCCCCCCACCTAATAACGTAACGCTCCCCCGCTCCCCCCCCCCAGAGCGCCCCCGGAACTGCCGCAGTGCGTCTGGTGCCACAGCCTGTTGTGCCAGGGGGGGGGGGGGCGGTACGTTAAGATTCCCCCTGCCCCCCTTGCCCCACAACGCTGGTTAGTTATTGCTGCGAATAACACCCTGCTCTTTTGAGCCCGACTGCGAGTCGTCCGCGGAAAAGCGCGCACATGCAGTGGCTTTCGGAGGTCCGTGCGGATTTCTTGGATCGGCGCCGGGCCCCGCCTGGCGGCCTCTCCGGCGCCACACTTGGCGCGCTCCGCGCGCCAGGGAGCAGGGCCCAGCGCCGTCCCAAGAAGTCCGCGCGGACCTCCGGCAGGCAGCCTCTCTCTGTGCTGCTTTGTTGTTCCCCTGCAGCTGCGGGTCCGATGATGGCTTCGATGCCGCCGTGCAGGGCGTCTTCGAGCGCTTCACTTCGGAGCTCCTCCGGGACGCTGCAGCGGCGCTCACGGAGGCGGCAGGCGGCGCTGCGGACTCGGAGGTCGAGGGCCCCATGCGCGGAGACTCCAGGAGTTCCTGGGGCGGTGCTGACGGGGCGTTCTACGAGCTGTTCGGCCGAACGCAGGTCACGGGCGGCGATTCTATCCATAACCGAGCCCTCGGGGTCTGGATTCAATGGCGCGATCCCGTGGATACGCGGTCGCATGGATGCGTTCCGCGCGGGGCATCTGCGAGGAAAGCGCCCCGCCCCGTATCCATGGTGTCGTCGCCCAGGGATCCAGCTCGCGAGGCCATGTGGACATGTTATGCGCCCATGCGCGTCCATCATGCCAATCATCCTCCTCCTCCTGCTTCGTCCTTCGGACGTCGGCGTCGGCGTCGTGGTCGTCGTCGTCGTCCCGCCCGCGAAGACCAATGTCGGCGGTGTGCCTCCACCAAGGGGAGGAAGATGCTCCCGATCTGGGTGATGGTGGTGATACGCGGGCTTCCACGGTGGCCGGAAGGTTTCACCAAAGTCTAGGAGCATCTTTCCCCGCTGGAGGCAGCCCCCTTTCTGCTGGCGCTGGGGCCCCTTTCCGAGTCTCCAGCGCTCACCCCCGACGTCATGATCTTTGGACCGTGGACTCCCAGAGGTCAGCAACATATGTACACGTACGCGGTTAGTTTACCCTGGAGTGCGTGTCAACGCGGACGTTCGTGCAGGTAACACCGCTGAGGGCGTACATGTACATATGTCGTTGCTCGCCCAGTGGACTCCCAGAGGCCTCGACCCCGTCTCCGGGACCGGTTTTTCTCCTCCCGAGCCGCCTCTCTCGGTCTCCCGAGGTCCAGCGGGGGCCCCCCCGGCGGCAGAGAGCACCTCGCAGAACCGCCCGGCGTGTTTTCTTGTCTGGGGCACGACGACGACGACGACGACGACGACGACGACGACGACGACGACGACGACGACGACGACGACGACGACGACGACGACGACGACGACGACGACGACGTCTGGGGCACGGGGGGGGTTTGGGGAAGCGTGTCCCGCCCTTTTGAGCAGGCGTTCGTGGACCACGTGAGGACGGTGCAGCTCTGCGGGGCGGGGCAGGCGCCCCCCGCGGAGGAGGGCGGCTCCGCGGCCGCGGCGGCCGGCGCAGCACAGGCTCCAGGCTACGCGCTGCCGCAGCTGGACGGCGCGCACCTGGATTTCAGAGGACGATAAAGGTGCCCATGCCGCTGCCCTTCCCTCGTTTGCCCCCTCTTGGGCCTCCCGAGAGGCCCTCGTCGCCACCGCTGGATTCGCTTTGAAATTCTGGTAAGTGCGCACCCCGGGAGAGGTCCGGGGAGTAGTGGTATCAGCGCATTTTGGGTTCCCCAGGATCGGGGGCCCCCTTTGGGGCAGCCCGCGTCTCGGGGAAGGAAACCCAGACAAGCAGCGTCCTGAGAGAATACGGACAGAGCTTTTTTTCGATGTTCGGCCCAGGGGTGAGGCCCATACCGGGCCTCGGGACCGTCAGCAAACGATGCGGGCCCTGGGGAACGGGTCGAAACTTTAATGGGCCGCAGATGGCGGAAATCAGGACATCGCATGTCTGCTAACATTGCAAAGATACAATGTGTCAGAGGTCTGCGCGGCGTTTCTTGGGGTCGGCGCCAGACCCCCCCCCCTCCCTGGCGGGCGGAGCGCGCCAGGGGCGGCGCCAGAGGCGCTGCTCGGCGGGCTCCAGCGCAAATCCAAGAAATCCGCGCGGAGCTCCGAAGTCTCGTGCTCATGTCGCTGTTCCTTCCCCGAGCGTCCCGCTCCGCGGCGAGCATGCCTCCGGCGGCGAGGCTGGCGTGGGACGCCTGCCAGGAGCAGGGCTCGAGCTGAACGGTGCTTTGGCGGCTTCGTGGGCCGTTTTCGCTATGGCCTTGTCCTGCAGCGGAGGCGGAACGAAGACAGAGCGAGGGGAACCGACCACAACAAGAAGGCAGAAAACACGAAAGCAGAAAACACGGGCGGCCCGGGCGAACACTTGCCATCCCCGAGCCTCCCCGCTCCTGCCCGCCTCCTCCGGCCCCCTTGCTCTAGCCTCTTTGTTCTTGCGCAGGCTGCCGAGCGCTCCAGGCGCTCGTAGCGTCAGCGCCCGCGGCCGCAAGCGCGCCGCGGAGACAAGGGCGCGCAGACCCGCGGCGAAGCACCCACCGATGGGATCGAGAGCGCCAGCGTCACGAGGGGAAGGCCAGGCGCCTGTGGGGTGGGCCACCAAAGCTCCGAAACAAGAGGCACCCACCCCACAGGCGAAAACAGTACAGAAAGGAGACAGCGAGAGGACAAGGCAAGGAAGCAACGGGAACATGGATGAGATGGAAACAAGAGAGGACGACTGCTCGGATCGGGGGGGGTCCACCTCGGGGTGGCGCTCGGCTGCCGCTTTCGCCACCCAGACGGGCACCCCCCCAATTAGGCTCACCTGACCCCGAAGAGTTCGGAGGCCGAGATGGACTGGTGGAAACCTCTGAAGAACAAAAGCATCAGGATCGGCCTCTGGGCTCCAAGGGGGTGGTGAGATACCCTACGCAGGCTAGGACCGCCAGCGGCCCATTACAATCGCCGTGGCCAAAATTGCTTCTGCACAAACAAGGGACAGTCGAACAGACCACGACCCTTGAGGCCTCGGGGGGATACGACTTGGGGCCGCACTCCTGCCGCGGCCAAAATCTAAATCCCAATGAATTGACAAGGCTGCAAGGGCTTCACCACTACCTACAATTTCATCCGGGATCCGTTGGTGCCGCACTCGTCTTTGGTGAACCAACTCGAAGCTCGGGCACCAATGCTACTGCCACAGCCAGTGTGGCCGCGGGCGCCACCAGTATCGTAGGTATACCCGATGAGTACGCTCCAAACAACAACAGCAAACGACAGCGAAACTCACGATTGCCTTCCAACACTTGGTCCCGCAGACGTGCTGGCAGTTGTACTTCTCCCCATGGAGATGTAGCAGATCTGAGGCATGCTTGCTCTCAGTGTCTGGCAGCACTGGCTCCAAGCAAGTTTGGCCGACCTCGAAGTATCTCGCGTTCGGCCTCCGTAAGTGACGATGGTGCCGCCGTGCGCCTCCAAGACGGTAGACTAGGGGCCGCAACAACTCCAACCACACTTCCCTCAACCATTGCCGAAAGTAAAGACTCCATTTCGCCATCAACGATTTTCCATCCAGCACTCTTCCCATCTTGATCAGGTTCAAGTGCGCCATGTGCCCGCGGTACGGCCAAGCCGTCGGACAGGTAACGCACCCAACTGCAAAAAAAACACATGGGCATGGCCCTCGATGGAATAACATGTGAACCTCATCAGCACAACCATCCCCCATACGTACAAGGTTCGAGACGTGGCAGGCAATGCCAAACCAGAGCTGTAAGTGGTGGAGGAGGCTGAAATGGTGGACCTCGTCCTCCCCAACGCTGCTCACCTCCAGCTCCATCTTCATGCGCACCGTACCTCGCCCTCTTGAAAACTTTAACACGATGGTACCCTCTATGAGCTTGGCCCCTTTCAATAGCAAGATCGTCCTGACGTCGTAGTAAGGCCCCTTCCTCGCCGAGTCGTGGGATGTGTTCTTCCAGCCGAAGCACACAGCGGTTTCCAATCTTCCGTGCATGCTAAGCAATGAGGGATTGCCGGAGATCACCCCGCACGCTGCACATTGGTTGCCCCATGCCGCGCTTTGGCTAAGTCAAATGGGTTGTGCTCAAGCTGATGCCGTCTCCATGCGGCGACTGTGGTAACCGTGTTCCCGCGCGTGTAGCAGATGTAATAGAATGGCTGATTCCCGCCTGGTCGCAAGGCAATGCGGCCCCAACGCGATGCTCTCAGGATCTGAGATAGAAGGCGACCCAGCTCCTGAGGAAACCAATGCTTCCACACTCGCTCGACCAGCAGCTTGAAGGAGTGCGGCGAATCTCGTTCAAAATTGAAACAACGCCTCAGCGTCCAGTCTTCCACCCCGCTCTTAATATTATGTTTGCAAAGCCATCGGAAGTCCTCCATGATCATAGACGCCTACGAACCCCTCTGAGGGGCCAACATATTAATCAGAAAAAAGCAGCGCCGAAGGAGCAGTGGCGAATTACGATCCAAAGTAAATGCGACGGCGCCTCCTGACCGCATGCTCGATCCCAACCCTCTTGGCCGCAACAAGCACCCCTGCGTCTGCGGTGTAGATGCCCGTCTCGGAATGATGTTGCTTGCCGGCTGCTGTACGATATGATCAGATCCTTGGAGTTTCCAACGCCTTCTTCTGAGCCGTCTGTAATTAATGCCAGACTTCCGTCAAATACAACAGATGGATTTTGGCCAAGAGATCGCAGGGGTTGACCTTAGCCATTGTCGTAAGTCTATGCAGCCTGGTCGTCGCCCGTTTGATCGGGTCTAGGGCTGTCTTCTGTTTGACCACGGCCATTGCTATCCTTGGTCCAAGGGCAGCCTCCTCGTCTATCATAGTGCCGAGATACTTGTAGTCTCGCACAAGATACGCTTCTACGTTTTAATCGGGGGTGACCAACTTGGCGTTGCAGGAGTTCTGGGGCCTCATCCGAAGATCCCGCGCCCCTTGTCCAGCTGGTATGATCATGGCGCTGCTCTTGCGGCGCTGATAGTTCATCGTGAACCCATGCGTAATCATGCGTTTGTGCACGCAATCGATCGCAACACCCGCTGTATTTACCGCTTCCGACGCACTTCGGGGCGTCAATAGGTATAAGCCATCATCGGCCAAGGACGCATCATGTAGAGTGGGTATTGGCAGACCCGCTGGAAAAAAACAGGAAACTGCCCCGTCGTCTGGTACCGACAAGCCGATTGGGATTTCGCATTGCATCAGCTCCTCCTCGATGGCCGCCAGCGGTTTGGCGAACGAGACGTTGAAGATCGCGTCTGCGAGCGAGCTCCCTGGACGCGACCCTCTCCTCGAATGGGCGACATCCTGGCAGCCCCCATGGGTATCTCCAAAGTGCGTATCCCGATGTCCCTCAACAAGGAGTGCTAGTAGGTGCGGCCAGTCTTCCAGCTGCGCTAGTGCACCAGGGCGCTGCAGCATCACTTCGAACAGCGGCATCAGGACCAGCGGTATGTCATGATAGTGAAGAATGAAGCCTCGATCTCCTTCATCGCTTCGGGCTGGAAGAGCTGGAGACCTACCTGATGGTCGAGTAAAATGTTGTTTTAAGATCAATGAAATACAGGATGGCCGTCTTCCCTTGCATTCGGCAAACCTGAATGAAGGGCGTCATTAGGTGTGCTAACTGCGCTTGCCCACGTCTGGGACGTCCTCCGCGCTGTGTGTCGCGTAACAGAAGGTGCAGGTATTGCATCTGGCCACGTGGACGTCGATGCCAGCATGTGCTGATCGTGCCAGTCAACAGTATAGACCTGTAGTTGTCGAGCTGCGACGGTGTACCCTTGCCCTTGAAACGGGGGAACGCGATGCCATGTTTCCAGGAAGATGATCCTTGCTGGCGTTTGCTTGTCTTCACGAAGACCGGTGCATAGTGTCGCGCGAGCGCTTGGGAGTGTGTCGTCAGAAGGTCGCTGATTATTTGATCCTGGCCTGGGGCTTCCCTCCTCTTAACTCCTCTGAACAGTTGCCCAACTCGAAACGGTCCAGGCACCAACTCGACCTACCGCATTAGTTCGTGATGCAAGCGTTGATTATCTAGACTTCGTAGGTTTGCTCAATCCACCACCTCAGCATCCTCAGTCTGCGCAATGTGGCAGATGATCGCCTCTGCCTCCTGATTGCCGGCCTCTAGAATCACATCCGTTGCGTCGGTGAGCTTCAAACTTTTGCCAATCCTGCCCAGTCGACCACCGTGACGCAATAATATTTGTTGAAGGCGCCATTCGTGGTGAGTGTCGCCCTTGCTCGCGTAATCCCCCATCTCCTGACCTATCTTCTCAAGGTGTTTGGCCCGATCTTGTCGGATCGCTGCCTTCATTTTTTCCCGGACATTTTCAATAATACCCTTAGCCTGCTCACGAAAAAGTCATCCGTCATCGTCTGGTCGGAGCGTTTGGTATTGCACAGGAGTTTCAATCGGCGGACCTCTTGCGCCCATGGCTTCTCGTCGGACGGGTGGAAGAGCACGTCGTCCAAGTGCGTGAGCAGCATGTCCCATGGCGGAGTGGTAGTGGCAGTCTGCTGTGTTTTAGTCGCCCTGGCCACATGCCTTCTTAGCCTGACCAGCTCCACCGCGTCGCTCGTGATGTAGGGCTGATGAGGGGTCAGCTTTCCCGCTCCGTAGCACTCCGCTGCTGCAGCGCGTACCGCGTCGTCCGTCAGTGTCTGGTGGTCGTGGACATCCATCTCCCAGGTCGGAAGACCTTTCGCTGCCAGTGTTGCATCAAACCTTTCTCGGCATATCGGATCGTGTAGTTTTGCTTGGCCTGGACGCAACCTTGCCTGGCCTTTCGCGCTGGTTCGCGGGATTGTTTGACTGCACCCCGCTAGCACAGGAAGTTGATTCACAGTGTCGGTGCACGTGTCCAGTGCACTGTCAACTTCGCAGTGCATGCAACGCCCATGGCATACGCTGTTTAAGATAACATGGTCGTTCCTGGGGTATGTTCCCACGCTGCTTACCTATGTATGTCCAGCTGCTTCTTCGTAGTAGGTGGAGTCCACATATAATTCGCGGCCTACAGCAACTTGCCGAAGGAGATGTCCTCGGAGGTCATCTTCTTCTGGAGTGCAATATGGACCGAGGTGTTGGCCCACTCCGTCGTGAGCCCCCTGTCGTTGTAGTAGCCTTGGTGCAGGGCCCAGACGTGCACCCATGTCGCCCAAGGTTAGCGATGGTGGCCACTTCAGAAGAAATGTGCCGAACGTTGCCAACCACTCTTTGTAATACAGCGTTTGGTGCCCTGTGTTTTGACCGCGTGTGCGACGTAAACAATCTCGAACTCGTCAAATATCCACACCTTGCATACCACTAACCTCTCGCCATCATGTAGTGCTCGCACAACCGACCTCTTGAAACATCGTGGGCCCATGGGACCCTCTCCGCACGGTGGAACCGTGTCAAGTAGCAATGCGCATCCACATTTTTCTCTTGCCTCCAGTACCCACCACCAGGTATCCCTCAACAGCAGAAGGTATTTCTGGTGCTGGCGCCCCTTGACATCCAACAATCTGCACCCCTTGGTCTCGAAATTGGCATCGGAGAAGGTGAGCTCGAATAGGCTTGTCTGGCGTGCCTGCATCACCCACAGCAGCCCGTTGGCAATTGAACGCGGCCGATTTCAAGTTCAGCTGGTGGGTTCTCGTAGCCGCTGCTGGCCGGGGTCAGCTGCTGGCTTCTGAAGGTCAGGCTTGGCGAAGAGGCCGTCTTGGTTAGCGCGTGGATAAGCATGTCGGTCGGGATGGTTGGGGTCTCGTAGAAAGGCCCACTCCAAGCCAACGTCGTACTGAGGTTCTGAGCACTAACTTGTGGTAGGTCGAGTGGTGGTCGTGTTCTCCCGCTTGTTTGCAATGACGTCGCATAGCTCATTCCAGGGGCTGCCTTCGTGACCGCCGGTGTGAGTGAGCTTGATGGGGCGTATTCGGGATACCTCCGCGAACACGTGCGCAGCGAGCTCAGATACGCTGTCCCTCTGCGAACGGCCAGACGCCGTTGACGCCAGGTCGGGGAGGCAGTCGCAGATGATCTCTACGGGAATCTGCCAGGGGACCTGCAGGGAGTAGACCATCGCCCACAATGGACCTCCCGTCTCAGTAGCGACGCTGGAGATAGCGGCGTCGGCGATTTCGAACTTGACGCAGCCTCGCACGCATGAGCCGAAACAAGCTATCGAAGCACTCCGACTCCACGCTGCCAGAGATGACAGCGCACGCCCACGTACTTTGGCCAGGGCCGTCATCCCAGTGCGAGCCGTCGCAGAAGATGGTGTAGTGGTCCACTGGCGACGCATGTGGCGTCGCGCAGCGGGGGGGTAGAGAGGCGTGCTGATGCATAACCAATCCAGCAAGATCACGCCGAAGCCTGATGTGCCAGCCATGTCGAGAATGTAAGACATGCACTGGCAAAGGGATGCCACGCCGCACCAAGGGTGCATCAATATCACTTAGCTCATCATCCTGGCCACGTTGTTCCACAACTGGAATATGAGAAAGTAGATTAATCGATTCGGTGCACGACCTGACGGACGCTGCATGCGGTGACACTTGCGCAACAACACGGTGCACTGGTACTGTTCGAGTGGGTATGTTACCAGGGTTGCGCAGAAAGCCAGGCCTACCTGTCCCAGCCCTTCTGGGCAATAATGGTTGGTCGGTCGCGGCGTTGTCAGACCTACCTGTCCCAGTCACTCTGGGCAAGATGGTTGGTCGATGGTAGCATTGCCGGGCCAACCTGTCCCAGAACCTCTGAACGATAATGGTTGGTCGGTAGTAGGATTGTCATGCCAACCTGCCCCAGTCACCCTGGGCAAGAATGGTTGGCCAATGGCAGAACTGTCACGTATCTTGCCCCTCAGTGCCCCAGTCGCTCTAGGCACAAGGGGCTGGACCTCCCATTGGGGAGCGGCTGCCCCAGGCGTGGAGGCTGCCCAGCTTCGTCACCAAGAGCATGTTCACCGTCACGTGGGGTAGGTGATGCTCTCTCCCATGCTGTGAGAGTAGGACAGTCGCCAGCAACTGTAAGTAACCACTTCTCCTCGTGCACCCGACCTCCTCGTTTGACTTGCACTCGTCTGTCCAGCACGAAAGGGAGCTCTTGCTAGCTCTCGAAGTCTTTCTCGCTGGTGATTTGCGTAAGAAACTCCGATCAGTGGCCTCCGCAGTCGACGATTATGCTTCTCCCTCCCCACGCCCTTCGTCATTTGTCACGTCGTGCATCATGGACGCGTGGTGGCTCTGGATATCTTCTGCTTGCTGGCGCTGCCGCTGCTCGAACTCGTCCGCTGCGTGGTTCTCATTTTCCTCCCTGATCGCCTTGAGCTCCGCCTCTGCTTCCTTCTGCATGTAATCCTGAAAGTCCACGGCTTCCTGGCAGTACCCTTCCGCCCCACGAAGTGCTGCATCGACGTCCTGCTCGGTCTGATTCATCGTGGATAGACGCTTCGCCATTGGGCTGGCCTCGACCTCAATGACCAGCGAAGTCTCCATCGCAGGAGGTGCTGGACAGTCAGCCTCCTCAAGCGGATCTCATGTTTGATATTTTTTTGGTGGAGGGGGGGGGGGCGGGCGCGCAGGCCACGCAGTTCTGCTAGCCGCCCACAGCAAGTCGACCGTATGCGCTGCAAACGAAGGGCGCCGCTGCTGGTACCTGGGATCCAGCAGAACGAGCTCCTCCACTCGGCTCGGCTCCGAGATCGGCTCCCCCTTCTGGCACGGCAACCGTCTCTACTCGAAACAATTCTTCCTTCTCTCTCGGTGTGTAGACATCGTGTGCCACGGTCATCTGCGATGTGCTGGTCTGGCGCCTTGACTCTTGAAGCGCGCGCTGCAAATGCTCGTCTTGGAGCTTCTGGAGGTCCCATATACCCTGCCGCTCGATATCCTCCTCATCTGCTACCCACTCTTTAACTCGAGCTTCTTATGCTTCTTCGTGATGCCGCCTTTCTTATGATAATCTAGCCTCTCGGGACGGTCACGAAGGTATTCTTCATATGCTTGGACGTCGGCAGCCTGCTGTTGCAGTAACCTTGTCTCTTCTGCATCAAGCTCCGCCTCGTGCCTTCTTCTGCGCGCCGATGTTGTTGCTTCGATGGTCGCCGTTGAAGGTTCAGGATCTGGGCTGGGGTGCGTTGTTCCCTTGGCTCGTCAAACTGGGGTCGCCCATGCAACGATCCTGACCTGGCTCAAGTTAACCGGGGGTGCAAGATATATCTGCCTTGAACGATGTGGTCCATAACTGCCAATCCTCTCCGCGGATCCTTTTCGATGGGGCGACTGCGACAACTGCTCCTGGTTGAGCTGTCGGTACCATGGGAAACCCCACCTCAGAATGCACATTCGCCGCCGATGTCGATGTTGCCGATTCGGGGACGGTCGACGAGCCTGTCTGAGGACCTTTGTGCAACCTTATTCCTGCCATGGCCTTCTCCGCCTGTTGTGCTGCATGAAGCTATGTCGCCCAAATGCGGCATCTCTCAGCAGCTTCCCGAACGGCCTGCATCATCGCGTCGCTTCGGGCTTGGTGTTCCTGGCGGCCAAGTTGGAGTCGATCAGCCTTCGCTTTCTGTTTTTCAAGAGTCTGTTGGTACTGGTCCAGCTCGCCTTTGAGCCGTGCCTCCGTTTCTGTTCTTTGCAGATCTGCCTGTTGACGATATAAATCAAAGCGTCGCTGCTGTTCTCGATGCTCAAGTCCGTGATGATGTGCTGCCGCTGCTCGTAGTTCTCCGTCAATGCACTCTATTCGGGCCTCTTTCTGCTGAACGCCTCTAACATGCGCCTTGTGTTCTTCATCTCGTAGCGCTTGTTGCTGCAAGTGGTGCCGCGCTTCATTATGTAGCTCCTTGAAATTTGCCAGCTGCTTCCTCACCCCGTCGGCTTGTTCAGTTTGCCCGTGATCTGGATCGCGCAGTCCTGATCGCACCATTTCTTGAGCTGCCACTCGCACCGCGTCTTGAGCTGCACTCTGCCTGCCCAACTGGTTCATGATACCTTCTCCGCAGACTCTGGACTGCATGTTAGCTGAGGAGGGGCCTCTTATGTATCTACCGTCGACAATCGGTGTGCCTGGGCCCCCTCTGGCTTTATGCTGGGATGGTGGTTGCGCGGGTACCGAAGCTGTTATGCACGGTGCTGCTGAGCATGGAGGCGGAGGTGGTGGTGGGGTTGGTGGAGGTACTTCATCTTTTGCCATACCACCTGATCCAACCTGAGGAGTTGTGACTGCAAGAGCTCTGCGGCGATCATGACCCACATCCTCCGATGATGGCGGTGACCTGTCTTCTTCTTGTGCCTCTCTGACTAGATCCTGCCAAGATAGCATCGTCTGTTATTCTCACAACATGTCTGTCTCGATCGCTGCGTACTGCCTCTGTAAACCATCCAACTTATTCGCTGATCTCTGCAGTCCGTCTCGCGTTTCCTTCTCTTTTGCAGCTGACGTCTTCATTTCCCAACGCATATATTTGATAATGACCATATATATACGTATATATCTGCTGCGCCTGCGTGCTGGTTATGGCTTCCTTACCTTTGATGACAATCTCCGCTAAGGTGTTCAATCTCGAATGCAACTCTTCCCGTTGCCTTGCCAGCGCGCCTTGTCCAGGTGGAGGTGGATGGTAACAGATGCTCTTCCTCGCATACTCGGTGGTACACATCATACATTCCTGAATACAGCTTTTGGCATTATCCTTCAACTTAGCCGATTCTCTAGAACTAATCCTCCATCGTGTGATATTTGACAATGCTGCCTCTAAGATAGGCCTCACTTGCGATTCCTGCGCCGATCGTCACCGTGGTTCATGTCCCCACATCCAATGCAATTCCAGCTCTGCGTACCAGCGCTCGATCGATCGTGTGCTGCAGAACCTCGTTGTCCACCTTTTCTCATCCATGATACCTGTCGAATGATGCTGCGCAAGCACACGTCGAGCTTTGTCGAGTCGTAGATCCAGCCGTGCAGCTGCCCGAAGCCGCCTAGCTCGGCGATGCCAGGCTGGCGAGCTCTTGGCCGTCTCCACGGCCTGCCTGCCCTGCACGGGGCCGCGGGCTGTCCGCCGCGCTGAGCCGCGCCCTCCCTGCGGGAGGCCCGATGGCGCGGCGCCGCGCGCGCCGAGCGCGCCGCGGGCGGCCCCCCCCCCCGCTTAGGAGAGGCACGGCTTGCTCTGGCCTCTGCAGCCTCTCCCCCCTGACCCTCCCACTCGCCCGACCCTCTCCAACTACCATGCGAGCGTCGAACAGAAACTGGTCTTACGTGAAATACTTGTAGCGACCTTCTGCCACGGCTTGCGTGGGCCGTCAGCGTTGCATACCGCGTGGAGAAGAGGGCGCCTCCCAGACCCCGGACGTCATGTTTTTTGTTCTCGTAACGTCGACCCCCAAAGGTCTCGACCCATTCCTTGGGGCCTGCTTCTCAGTCTGAGCAATCTGCTGACGACCCTGCGTCGCCGATGCATCGGCGATGCATCGGTAATGCGGCACGATCTGCCGACCCCAGTCGCTCGCACTCCATATGGAAGGCCTCTAGGGTCTAAGGGGGGGAGCGACGAGGGCGAGGAAGGCGAGGAGAGAGTCGGGTGGGCCTTGGAGGGAGGGGGAGGGACGGGGGGGAGGAAGAGGGCAGGGAGGGATGTGGCGGGAGCAGGGCGAGGACGGAGGGGCGAGGAGGTGGGGGGAGGGCACCCTCTCCTCCCCCCCCCCCTCGTGGAGGAGTTCGTCGGCGGCCCGCCCTCGCCGTCGGGCCCGGCCACCGGCGGGGAGGCGGCCTGCACGGCCGCTGCGGCGCTGCTGCTGCGGCCGCCGGGCGAGGCCGGGGCCGCCTGCCAAAGTGCCCGCCGGCCTGCGCTGGAGCTGCACCTGTGCTTCCGCCCGAGGGGCGACAGGTGCCTGGGCACCGGGAGGAGGAAAGGCACGATCTAGGGGAACAAAAAGTGGCGTAAACATACAAACTCGGAGGTCCGCGCGGATTTCTCGGATCGGCGCTCGGGCCCCCTGGCGGCGCCTCTGGTGCCGCCCCTGGCGCGCTCCGCGCGCCAGGGAGGGGGGTCCAGCGCCGATCCGAGAAATCCGCGCGGACCTCCGAGTTTTTATGTTTATGTCATTTTTTGTTCCCCTAGACAGGTGCCTCGGCACCGGGAGGAGGACAGGCACGATCGACCCACGAGCCCGGAAAGGAAAGAGATCGACCCGTTCCCCGGAACATGTTTTCCATCCAGGGTCTTTTTTGACAGTCCCGAGGCCCAGTAAGGGTCCCCAGAGATAGACAAATTGTGAACACGATCGACCCACGAACCCGGAAAGGAATCTTGAAACATAAGACATGGCAACGCTTCAAAGGCACTCGATTGGGCGACGGGCAAACGCAATGCTGAGTGTATCGGTATTGACGTGCCGTGATGTGCTGTGCTGCGCCGTGCTGAATTGCGATGCGCCGTGCCGCAATTGTGCTATATAGCATTGTGGATCGAGTCCTCCTTTGCATCCGAGTCCTGACCGAACTGATCGGGATCTTGAGCTCGAGCTGCCTGAACACATAGTAGCTGCCCCAGAGCTAACAGGGGGACGTGCCAGGAGGACGCGCCGCGGAACGTCCCAAGGGACGCGCCAGACGACGTGCCAGGGGACGTGCCATGGGGACGCACCGCGGGACGTGCCAAGGGAACGCGCCACGGAACGTGCCAATGGACGCGCCACCTCATGCTAGACATCCGTGTGGGCGAGCTGGACACGTGAAAACAAGTGGTTCGCTCGAGACATCCTCAACACATCTTCATGTCAGACGTCCGTTCCAGGTCCCCAAGAAGGCCCCAGGAGGCCCATGTGAGATACCCCCTGGGTGGCCTGGACACGTGAAAGCACTTGGTTCCGCCATGTTGATTACCCCCCTGGGCGGCATGGACACGTGAAATCACATGACTCCAGCTCGGGAGAACCATGTTAGATATCCCCCTGGGTGGCCTGGACATGTAAAAACACTGGGTGCCAGCTCGGGAGAAACATGTTAGATACAAACCTGGGTGGCCTGGATACGCTGAATTGGCGCCCCCGCTCGAGACATCCTCGCAATGTCTTCCCTGGAGAGGCCCCCAAAGCGCCACCCACTTGTCACAGCAAGAAAACATCACTTTTGTGTATTGGGATACGTGTTCGGGTAGCGCTTTTCGACCCCCCTGTGCGTTTCCTGATAATGCGGCGTTGGGCCCGACGCGATGTTAGATACCCCCCTGGGCGGCTTGGACACGTAAAAACACATCCTTCCTGTGAATACTTTCGCCGGCCCTACGCGGCCTCGTTATTTACTTCAAATAATTTCGCCGGCACTACGGCCGTTGATTCCAGGGGTAAACCTCTTAAAGAGAACCCTGGGCTCAGACCTTTTCCGGGAACATTCGGTTCCAGCACAGGACCACCATGTTAGATACCCCCCTGGGCGGCCTGGACGTAAAACACGCGGCTCCAGTGCAGGACCGCCATGTTAGATACCACCCTGGGGAGCGTGGACACGTAAAAACACGTGGCTCCAGCTCGGGACCACCATGTTAGATGCCTCCTGGGTGGCCTGGACACGTGAAAACACGTGGTTCCAAGCCGGGGCCACTATGTTAGACACCCCTTGGGTGGCCTGGACATGTGAAAACAGTTGGTTCCAGCCCATCCAGGGGAGAGATCGAATATGCGGTCGTCTGGGGCGCCAGCTGGGGGCAGCCATGTTGGATACCTTCTAGGCGTGCCCATGGTTCGCCTGAGACATCCTTTGAATTCTGCCCCCCGACGAAGCCTCCGCTTGAAACACCCACCCAACTCTGCAAAACCAGCGTTTCGCCTGAGACATCCCCAGCACATTCACATCAAACACGCGCTTCGCTAGGGCCATCCTCATAATTCCCCCGCCGAATTGAATTTTATGTTGTTATTTATCGCAACTACTTCCGCTGGCCGAAGCCAAACACGCGTTTCGCTAGGGACACCCTCATTTTTGTCCACGCCGAACGGGACTTACAATCGAAAACTAATTTCGCCAGCCCGAACCAAACACGCGTTTCGCTAGGGATATCCTCAATTTTCCCACGCCGAATGGAAGTTCGCCCAATCATTCATTGCAAATAATTGAGCGGGCTGAAGCCAAACACGCGTTTCGCTAGGGACATCCTCAACTTCCCCACGCCAGATGGGACTTTACCTTGTGACTTATGGCAAATAGTTCTGCCGGTGGAAACTGGCGGGAACGCAAACTAAACGAGAACATTGGGCCCACGCCCCTTCCGGGAAACATGATCGACCCACCAACCCGGAAAGGAATATAGAAATGTAAGGTATGGCAGCGGTTCAAAGACACCAAATTGGGCGACGGGCAAACGCAATGTTGAATGTATCGATCATGATGTACCGTTCCGAGGGCTGTGCTGTGCTGCGCCGTGCTGAATTGCGATATGCCATGCCCCGATTGTGCTCTACAGTGTTGTGGACCGAGTCTTCTTTCGCATCCGAGTCCTGACCGAACTGATCTGGATCTTAAGCTCGAGCTGCCTCAGCACATAGTAGCTGCCCCAGCGCTAATTGATAGAGGAACATGCCGGGACGTGCCAGGGGACGCGCCGCGTGACGTGCCAGGGGGACTCGCCACGGGACGCGCCACGGAACGTGCCAGTGAACGTGCCAAGTTGCAACTCTGAGTGTTTCGATCTTGATGTACCGTGCCGAGGGTTGTGCTGTGCTGCGCCGTGCTGATTTGCGATGTTCCATGCCGCGATTGTGCTCTACAGTGTTGTGGATCGAGTTTTCCTTCGCATCCGAGTCCTGACCGAACTGGTCTGGATCTTAAGCTCGAGCTGCCTCAGCACATAGTAGCTGCCCCAGAGCTAAGTGACAGGGGGACATGCCAGGAGGACGCGCCGCGGAACGTCCCAAGGGACGCGCCAGGCAGGGAACGTGCCATGGGGGCGCACTGCGGGACGTGCCAAGGGGACGCGCTACGGAACGTGCCAATGAATGTTCCGTGGGACGTGCCAGGGGACGCGCCGCGCGACGTGCCAGGAGGACTCGCCACGGGAAGCGCCACGGAACGTGCCAAGGAACATGCCAAGTTACAACGCTGAGTGTTTCGATCGTGATGTACCGTGCCGAGGGCTGTGCTGTGCTGCGCCGTGCTGATTTGCGATGTGCCATGCCGCGATTGTGCTCTACAGTGTTGTGGATCTAGTCTTCCTTCGCATCCGAGTCCTGACCGAACTGATCTGGATCTTAAGCTCGAGATGCCTCAGCACATAGTAGCTGCCCCAGCGCTAATTGATAGAGGAACATGCCGGGACGTGCCAGGTGACGCGCCCCGCGACGTGCCAAGGGGACTCGCCACGGGACGCGCCATGGAACGTGCCAGTGAACGTGCCAAGTTACAACGCTGAGTGTATCGATCTTGATGTACCGTGCCGAGGGTTGTGCTGTGCTGCGCCGTGCTGATTTACGATGTGCCATGCCGCGATTGTGCTCTACAGTGTTGTGGATCGAGTTTTCCTTCGCATCCGAGTCCTGACCGAACTGGTCTGGATCTTAAGCTCGAGCTGCCTCAGCACATAGTAGCTGCCCCAGAGCTAAGTGACAGGGGGACATGCCAGGAGGACGCGCCGCGGAACGTCCCAAGGGACGCGCCAGGCAGGGAACGTGCCATGGGGGCGCACTGCGGGACGTGCCAAGGGGACGCGCTACGGAACGTGCCAATGAACGTTCCGTGGGACGTGCCAGGGGACGCGCCGCGCGACGTGCCAGGAGGACTCGCCACGGGAAGCGCCACGGAACGTGCCAAGGAACGTGCCAAGTTACAACGCTGAGTGTTTCGATCTTGGTGTACCGTGCTGAGGGCTGTGCTGTGCTGCGCCGTGCTGATTTGCGATGTGCCATGCCGCGGTTGTACTCTACAGTGTTGTGATATAAGTCCTGACCGAACTGATCTGGCCTGGATTTTAAGCTCGAGCTGTCTCAGCACATCGTAGCTGCCCCAGCGCCAATTGACAGAGGAACATGCCAGGAGGATGCGCCGCGGAACGTCCCAAGGGACGCGCCAGGCGACGTGCCAGGGGACGTGCCACGGGGACGCACCGCGGGACGTGCCAAAGGGGACGCGCCACGGAACGTGCCGATGGACGTGCCACTTCATGCTAGACATCCGCCTGGGCGAACTGGAAGGGAAAAGAAGTGTTCGCTCCAGGCATCCTCAACACATCTTCATGTCAGACGCCCGCCCCAGGCTCCCAGGAAGGCCCCAGGAGGCCCATGTTAGATACCCCCTAGGTGGCCTGGACACGTGAAAGCACTTGGTTCCGCCATGTTAACTACCCCTTCTGGGCGGCCTGGACACGTAAAACCACGCGGTTCCAATTCGGGACAGTCATGTTAGATACCCCCTTGGGTGGCCTGGACACGTAAACACACGTGGGGCCAGCTCTGGGCAACCATGTTATATACACCGCTGGGTGCGTTAAAACACGTAATCCTTGCTGGGGGCATTCATGTTAGATACCCCTCTGGGTGGCCTGGACACGCAAAAACACGTGGTGCCAGCTCGGGACAATCATTTTAGACACCACCCCGGGCGGCCTGGACACGTTAACATGATCGACCCACGAACCCGGAAAGGAATATAGAACTGTAACACATAGCAGCGTTTTCAAAGACACTTGATTGGATGACGGGCAACTGCAACGCTGAGTGGATCGATCTTGATGTACCCTGCCGAGGGCTGTGCTGTGCTGCACCGTGCTGAATGGCGATGTGCCATGGCGCAATTGTGCTCTATAGCGTCATGGATCGAGTCCTCCTTTGCATCCGAGCCCTGACCGAACTGATCTGGATCTTAAGCTTGAGCTGCCTGAACACA